AATCACAAAAGAACAAATACTGTGGAATCTCATTTACGTGAGATATCTAGAATTTGGCAAATGCATAGAAACCAAAGTTTATCAAAGGCTACCAAGAGGAGGGAGAGAAAAAGGAAGAATCATTGGCTAAAGGGTACTGAGTTTCTGTTAATTGTGAAAGCAGCTTTTGGAAATAGTGGCAATCGGAAACAGAGTAACAGTATAATTCAGTAATTAATGCCACTGAATTGTACATATAAAAATGGCTGAAATGGCAAATATTTCATTTTTTAAATCCACTGTTCAAACTTTTAATTGTTTTGTAAGTATCCTAAATGGCTTTTAAAAATAATTTATAATTTATGCCAGAAACAAATGTGAAGGCATCAACCTGTTATAACCAATGATATAAAAGAGAAGCAAAATGCCTTGCATAAGACCTAAAGACAATAGTTAATAGACACGTCTACAGCCCTCCCTATGTGCCAGCAGTGCTTTAGGGGCCCTATGCATAGCCATTTCTTTAACGCTATGATATAGAAGAAGTAACCAATAGCACTATTTTACAGATGAGGAAACTGAGACACAAAGGTTATATAATATGCCAAAGATCACCCAGCTAACCCAATGCCCATCAGTGAACGGATGTATAAATAAAATGTGGTGTATCTAAACAATGGAATGTCACTCAGCAACAAAAAGGAATGAAGTGCTAATACATGGTATAACAGATGAACATTGACAACATGATGCCAATGAAGGAACCAGTTGGAAAAACCATATATAAGTATTGCAAAATTCCACTGAAAGTTCCGGAATAGGCAAATCTATGGAGACCGAATATAGATTAATGGTTGAAGGGGGATGGGGAAATTGGGCGGGGGGGGAGCTAAAGGTTTAATTGGAGGTGCTGTGGTGATGGCTGCACAACTCTGTGAATATACTGAAACCCATTTTAGGTAAACTTCAAATACACAAATCATTTGTTGTGTGAATTACATCTCAATAAAGCTGCTTTTGTGGGGAAAAAAAGTAATTATCAGAAGGCTTGAAATCTGTCAAACCAAGGAATATGGAGTCCTGGTGTGGCACTGTAGAATAAACACTAGACTGCAAGTCAGTTTGAACTACACAGCTAGTGGTTCAAACTCACTAGCTACTCTTCAAAAATCCTATAGAAGGTTGCTATGAGTCAGAACTGACTCTACGGCGCTTAAAAACAACAATGTACCATACTAAGGTCTATGATAATGAGAAAGCAAGTGTAAGACCTAAACCTTGGCCACAAACTGCTTGCAGTTAAAGAAAAAGGGCACACACAAAAGATATAACACACTTCAGTTTTCTAATTTTCTGTGTGTATTTCTCTAAAGGGTAGTCAACTGTCTGAAACAAGTTTTCTGATTCATAAAAGCCATTAAGCTAGTGCTTACAGAACACGCTAGTTATGATGAGACTGATCCTGCTCTCCTGCCTGCCCCACTCCCGGAATCAGGCAGGAGTTACGATCAACAGAACTTTCATACAGGGTTAGCCTGTAAGAAAGCCACCTATAGAATTCTTAGGGAAGTGAGGCTGGGAAAATTTGGGTACAAGTTTTCTAAAAAAAAAAAAAGGCCAGGACAGCTTGGAAGTTCAAGGCAAAGGTTAGGTCAAGAGGCACTGGTCCTCCTGCCTGGGTTTAGGAATAAGCACAGTTATTCCCTGGCCATGGCTGTTGAAAGTCTGGTCTATTTCACGACTGGGGAAGCTATACACACTGGGTCACCTTCCTTGGTGGTCAAAACTGCAACAGTCAAGGTCCCTCTGCTTGAGGTGGGCTTGAGAGTCTAACAAGGAGCCAAGGCCCTTTTAACTCACTTGCTGTACTGCTCAGAAAAAGTGAGAGCCAACAGTGGTCTTTAATGAAGACCAGGGAGATTTGTTGTCATAAAAACTTATATGGTGTGTGTAGTGAAGGCTACAGCAGGAGATACCATCTAGGGAAGGGGACAGTCTCAAGGTATGGGGGGCATACGGAACCCAAACACTGAGGAACACTTAAGCAGTGGCTCACTTACAATCAGGAAGGATGTCTGGAGCTAGCATGAATCTTAAAGAAAACTGCATGGAGGATTAAGGAGAAGTGCTGTGCAGACCTCCGTCAGCAATAGCACAGAATATCGGATGAAGCAGGTTCAGGAGACGGACCCAGAACTCTGAACTAAATATAAATGAGTATTTATATGGGCTTACTGCTAGTGTGATTTGTAGCAGAACCAATAAAGGTGGTATTTTCTGATATATGGTAGCCAGCCACTCCTGGAGTGGCCATCTTGGGTGTGGCAGAGTGGGTAAAGGATCAGAGGAGTGCTCCCACCGCAGAGGTCTGACTGATCCTTGGAGATGAAGGCGTAGACATTCTTTTTTTTTTTTTTCTTCTGTTCCTTGGTCTCTCACTGTCTGCATACCTCCACTCTGGTGACTAGAGGGGGGTGCCTGAGTGAACACCCCCCACCCCTGGAGGGTTCTACTATGCATGCATACAGATCTGCTCAGCAAAAACCACTGTGCGCAGAATTGAAGAAGGGGGAAGACATTGCTTAAATCCGAACAGTCTCCCAAAATGGTTACAGCTGGCCCTGAACTGTTTATCACTAGGAAAAAATCCTGAATGGAGGTTGTGGAGTGGGAAAAAGGCAGAGTAAAAAGGAAACAGGCAGAAATTAAATCCTGAGTTACATCAAAATGAGCAATGGTAACATCTTGAAATTTCTCAGGCGGCCTTAAAGGCAAGAAGCCAAGAGAGGGGTGTTAAAGTCTTACTCACATTTTATTATGTCTGTTTGTGTGTGTGTGTGATGATTACAGACTTTAGTATCCAGTCTGGCTTTTTTTTTTTTTTTTTTTGCTGTTTTGGGGTCCTACTTTTCCCTTTTTGCGGGGAAAGGCTCTTTCTCTCCCTACATTACCCAGGAAGAGACAGCAATTGCGGTCATATAGCCAAGCTTGCAACAATTACTCTGAGTTGAGTAATAAAAGAAGTGAAAAGGTAAGCCTATCTCTTGATCACATCCACCTGGAGGCAATCAGAAAGCTTAATAATACATCAACATATATTCATTGAATTATTGAAAATTCATCTAATTATTGAAAATGCTCAAGAAACAACTGAAGATATCAGTACATGCCGAGAAACACAATAGAGTGCTTGAAACAAATGATCTGGAGGTAGACCTAGACTTCCCATTGGAAGAAGGGCAGGCTTTGGAACTGCCTGATAAGGAATTCAGGAGAATGATATTGAGGTACATCCAAATGCTCCACAGAGCAGTTGAGAAAAACAAGGAAGAAGTCAGGAAAGGAAAGCTACAGGAACAATCAAATAAGATAAATACAGCATTGGAAACAATTCAAAACCTGAAAAAAGGGGTCCACATGATTAATAATAAAACATCAGAAATGGACAATAACTGAAAGGGCAAAGGAGTAGAACTACAGAGATGGAAGTCAGAAACAGCAAGCTGGAAGACAAATCTTTCAGTACTGCTAAGATAGAAGAGCAGCCCAAAAAAAGGATTTAAAAAATCTGAAGAAAGTCTAAGATTCATGTGGGACAACATGAAGAGGAATAACTTGAGGATAACTGGCATTCCAGAACAGGAAGAATAACATAAGTCCACAAAGATAGTTGAAGAGCTGCTGGAAGAAAATTTCCCTAACATCCTGAAAAATGAAAAGGTAAGCATTCAAGAAGCTCAAGGAACCCCAGGAAGGATAGATCCCCAAAGAAAATCACCAGGAGATATCATAATCAACCTCTCCAAAAGCAAAGACAAGGAGAGAATCCTGAAAGCACCTAGGGAAAAGAGAAGTGTTACATACAAATCAGATTAAGCTCCGATCTCTCAGCAGAAACCATGCAGGCAAGAAGGCAACAGGAAGATATATATATAAAACCCTGAAAGAAAAAAAACTCACCAACCAAAAATCGTCTATACAGCAAAGCTGTCAATCAAATATGATGGCATAATAAAAACCTTCCAGGATACACAGAAGCTAAGGGATTTTGTCAAAGCCAACCCAGCACTTCAAAACATCCTAAAGGGAATTCTTTGGACTGAGAACCAACAAGAACAGACAACAACCAGAGATTGACATACGTGGCAGCACCAGCCGGAACTCAATTGACAGATGGAAGGGCTCAGTATGGAACAAAACTACAAGAATAAATTCAGGGGATCTGGGAGGTCACTCTATGATCAAAACAATTAAAGGAACAGAGATCCAGGTGGTGAGAAGGTCAGGTAGAATGCAGAATAAAATACACTGTTTTAAATGGAGGAAAAAGCTAATAGAATATAGGGTAACCTCAAAGAAAATGAACACTTCACAACATACCAAGGAAATGAGAATCCAAGAAGAACATGGAGACATTAAAACTATTAAGAAACTGACAAAAAAAAAAGAACATAAAAAACATGAACTCAGCACAGGAAGGCATGCAGAACAAAACCATAAATGAAAATTGAGGGAACTTCTGTTCAGTTTCAAATTGCCTGACTATGAGGGGTTTATGGCTAGTGGGTGCTTTTCTACCTTCAGGCCACCAGACTAGTACTTAGCTTGATGTCCAGTGAACCCATGAAACCCACATAACAATTATATTGTAAAATAACGGATGCACACTGGAAAGATATTTAAATTATATAAACATGTGAGTTCAGTTTAATGTTATAAGGACTTACAGCAATCAAAACTTAGAATCTTACTTAAGTTTACACATAATTACTGTCTGAGATAGGACTACAAGCAAAACTCTAATCAATGAAGTAGTAAACTCACATTTTTAGCACTACTAATTATACATCTTCTCCTTAACTTCCTAGAAAGGACATTTCATATTTGGATCAATTAGCTTGGGACCAGAGTAGTCTGATGAATCAGTAAACAAACTAAGCAACAGAATCCTATAGCCAAGCGGTCTCAAAACAACAATCCTATTTGAACTACAATCAATAGCACTGCCTAATTCCCCTTACCTTTCACAACTTCGGCCACATTGCAGGTAGGGTCAATGCTTCCGATGTGTTTAGGTTGAGCAGGATTAGTGTCACCACCAAATAGAAGTGCTAAACAAACACACAAAGAAAAGGAGTATATTAAAAACGAGGGGAAATATAGGGGCTTATGAGTTGTTGTTTTTTTCGCTTATGAGTTTTTAAAAGGATTCCCTTATTTGTAAGAATTGTTTTAGCATTCACAGCAACTGAGAGCAATGCAATCGACAGGAGACCAACTCTCTCAGACAACAACGGAGGGACATGCTTAATACAGTAACAGTTAGCAGATCTGAAAACAGTAACACTTGCTAGGTCTCCAACCCTTTTCCTTTACCCAAAATGACTTGGATGAGGAAACCAACTTTTATCCTTAGCCACACTTACTCACTTTCTCAGTATGACTCCAGACATCTATTCTGAGATTCATTAAATGCTTAGAACACACAGTCTGCACCATTTGGACAAGTCTGCAAAGTGTCTTCACTATGAATTTTTCAAATGTCTCCGTCATGGAGACTTTCTTTCAATGCAGCATGTTGTTGTTGCTGTTAAGTGCCATCAAGTCAGTTTTGACTCATAGAGACCCTATACTGTACAGGGCTTCCAAGGAGCAGCTGGTGAGTTTGAACTGCCAGTCTTGCAGTCCAGTGCTTATCCAAAGTGCCAGGACTCCCAATGTAACATACATGGATGCTACATGTACAAGTGTTTTACAAAATAGTAAAATCATCTCACAACAGACAAGATTTACAAATTTTAGTTTTGGAAGAATCATCAGAAATAGCACCAAGAATAAGTAATCTGAATCTAAATGCTTACGGGGTTGATGTTGTTGTTATTATTATTATGGTTGTGGTTGTTGCTGTGAAGTGTCATCAAGCCAGTTCTGACTCACAGTAACCCTGCATAGGGTTTTCGAGGAGCGGATGGTGGGTTTGAACCACAGACCTTGCAGTTAACAGTCCAGTGCTGATCCTGCAGCTGCTGTCAAGCTGGCACCAACTCATGTGAGCTTACATACGGCAGGACGAAAAATTTCCTGGCCCTACACCAGGCTCACAATTGTTGGTAGGTCTGAGCGCATTGTAGCAGCTATTGTGTCAATCCATCTCTTGGAGAGTTTCCCTCAGTTTTGTTGACCCTCTACTTTACTAAACGCGTCTAGTGACACTTATCTTTCAATCAAGCAAAAATTCTTAACAAAAAGAGATTGCCTAAATAAAACTAAGACGATTTTAATTATGAAAAATGACAAACATGGGCATGAGACCAATACATAAAGTCCCAACTGACTAAGTGGAAGAGAAACAAAGTGTACAAGCTTAAACAACCATAAAGATGTATGCATGTATATATGTATGCACACACGTAGTTAGAGGAGAAAGAAATTATTTAAGTAGTTTAATCAAGTAGGAAGTACTTAAGTTCATTTTTTTCCTGTAACTTTCCACATATTTCTATTTTTCAAAGATAATACATTTAGAACTCACCCACACTTAATAGCTGTATAATATTCATTTATCCAAAATTAAACTAGTAAAATTAAGATGCTCAGTCCATTTTCTGATTCAGTAAAAAGGATGAATTGGACTCTAAGCATGTTGATGCTTTTCATAAGAATTATGAGAAGAGACAATACTGAAAATGAGCCAAAAGGATTTTTGGTTTTCTGTGTGTGAAGAGAGATGTTTATTTTGCTCTTATTGGCTTATAAGCCTAGAGAGCATAAAATCGTCAGTACAGGATTATGGTCTGACAATCTCACTTAATTGCCCACTGATAACTATGAAATAATAATGATCACTCACTCATATTGCCAACATGCCAATTCACTATTCCTAGTGTAAGTGTTTTGAAAAGCAAAACACAAAGCATCTGGGATCAAGAACAGAACTTGCTCTCAGAGCTGCAGGTAGGGCTGCCTTTCAAGCATGGCTTGTCCCCACCAGGAGTGGAACAACACGGGCTTAAAAGGCAAGTAGCAGTCCTGCTTCCTAAGATAAGCATCTTCAAAACCTCTCAAAGATTTCTCTAACAAAGAAAACTACCATCATTTTGCATAAATAACATGCACAATGTGGTTTCTGAGTCCTGGTGTGGCACTGTAGGATAAGCACTGTACAGCTAACTGCAAGGTCAGCAGTTCAAACCCACCAGCTGCTCCTCAGAAACCCTATACAGGGTCCCTATGAGTCGGAACTCACACAACAGTACTTAATAACAGCAATAATGCTGTTTTTGCACACTGTGCAAACCTCAAGTGTTAATTTCCTATTCGCTCAGTCTATATATATGGTAACTAACATGGTAACAAATACCTTTTTAATATGTTGTTGTTAAGTGCCCTCAAGTAGTTTCCAACTCATAGCGACCCTGTATAAGGCTTCAGAGGAGCAGCTGGTGAGTTTGAACCGCTGATCTTGCAGTTCAAACTGACCTTGCGATCCAGTGGCTATCCTACAGCACCATACCAGGACTCCTTTTAATGTGTGTATGTATTTTAATACATAGGATTTCACCTGGAATGAACTGAACTAGAAATGAAATTTCTACAACTAAAAATGCAGGCCAGTGAATTAAAAGTGAAGCAACAGGAAAACATTTCAGACAAATCACTCCACTTACTTTCTGAAAAATGGAAAAAGAAAACCAACTTACTGTGCTGGTTAATTAGCATGCGGAAGGAGATGCGGTTGGTGTAAAATCGATCCAGAAAATACTGGATGTTACTGCTAATGAAAGGATCAAACCCAAACTTCTCCTTGTACTCAATTACTCCTTGTGCCATTGTAGGAACCACATCATTGTGTCTGTTTCGGACTTTAAGCAGGACTTGTAGAAAGCTGTGTGGGAGGGAAAACAAAAAGTGGTCAAGTTTCAATCTTGTGGGCTGATGGATAGGACTTCCCAAATTCATCCCAGGACTGTTTATCTGTTGGTATCTCTATAGGTGGTGGTGGTGTTCTATGGAGTCGATTCTGACTCATAGTGACCCAATATAGGGTTTCCGAGGCTGTAAATCTTTACAGGAGAGAAAGCCTAATCTTTCTCCTGCAGAACAGCTGGTAGTTTCAAACTGCTGACCTTGAGATAAGCAGCCCGACCCATAACCACTACGCTACCAGAGCTCCTTATCTCTATAGGTAGAGACATTATTATCATTATATACAGACTGGTGCTGTAGGATAAACACTCAACCTTAAGATTGGGTTGAACTACAAGAGCAGTGGTTCAAACTCACCAGCTGCTCCCCAGAAACCTTATACATGGTCGTTAGGGGTTGGAACCGACTCCATGGCATTTAACAATAACAACATACATACTAGAATAAACTACAGCATTATCCCAAGTGATTTTACAATTTTAGTTTCGTTTACTATACACCGAACAATCCATTCCCCCCATATTCTAGTTTCTGTGCACAGTGGTCAGTGACACTGGCTACAGTACTGTTAGCAGCCTAGGGATTTCTGTTCTAGTTGCTTCACTTCCATTTACTATAGCTTCCTGACCCCAACATTCTCATCTATGCTTTAAAACAGCTGGTGACCCCTTGATCTTCTTCTTCTTCTTTTTTTTTTTCAAAGCAAAACAGTATTCAAGGGTGACAATCTTTATTCACTCTTTGGGCTAAACTGTCACTTAGTTTAAAGATGACATCAGGGATAGTTTCAATTCAAGGTTTTTGAAAAGCAGTTCAAATCTTGGAGACTCCTCCAGGCTCAACAGACCCAGTAAGTCTGGATTCTTTATGAATCTGAAGTTCTGTTCCAAATTTTTCTTCCTTTTTATCAGGACTCATCTATTGCATTCTTGATTAGAATGTTCAGTAGTGGTAGCTGGGTACCATCTAGTTCTGGTCTCAAGGTGGAGGAGACAGTGGTTCTTATAGACAATTAGTCCTATAGTCCAGCTTCTCCTCTCATTCTGTGGTTTTCTTCTTTTTCCAAATGAATAGTTGGCTGCTCATAAGCTAGTAAAAACCCAAACACTATTCACCATACAGGGAGGTAGAACACAAACTTTAAGAACTAATATAATGCTTACAGACTGAATCAGCTCAAGAGACCAGGGGCCTAAACTCCTAAACCAAGAAAATTAATCCCATGAGGTGATTGGGCATGTCTAATTATTACTTTATGGAGTCCTGGTGTGGTGCTGTGGGTTAATGCGCTGGAAAGCAAAGTCAGTTTGAATTCCATGGTCAGCAGCAAGCCAGTCACTTCTAGGAAACCCTATACAGGATGACACTTAAGTGGACTTGATGGCACTTAATAACAACAATTAGTACTTTAAATTTTTGCTTGAAACTTTCTACAAAATTTCTTCTTTCAGAGATCCAAAATGTAAAAGTAAAGAAATTTAAAAATGCTCAAATACCTTTTTAGGAATCCAATGACTTTTTTTTGTGTGTGTGTGAATTGAGTGATTAATTTGCATGGGGAAACATCAGTTTTACACTTATC